TATATTATACATATATGTTATATATATTATATGTGTGTGTGTATGTATGTATGTATGTATATGCATGTATATATATATATACGTATATATATATATGCGTGTGTGTTTGCATATCTTTATGGACTGATACGTCTATATTTATGAGTTTTACGACTTTCTAGGCAACTCGATATCAATCCGTTTTTTCCAGTATAATCCTTGTGTTCGGTGTTGCATCTTACTCACTGCCTCTACGGCTCGCTAGGGTATCCGATATTAATCCACTTGCTCCACAAATAAGGTGTTCCAAGCGTACACTTCATCCTTGAGGCTAGCTAGGCTTCTCTGGAATCCTCGAACTAGGCTATTCGATTTTAATCCACATCCCCTCAGAATTGCTAATGCTTGGTGTTGCAATCTTTTTCAATACCTCTAAGACTCGCTATGGTATCCAATATTTATCCACTTGCTTCTCAAATCCGACGTTGCAGACGTACCCTTAATTATGAAGGCTGACTAGGCTGCTTGACATTAATCCACTGTTCCCTCAGAATTCCCGAGAGGATACGTTACGGTGCTGCAGGCCGCCGATCATCAACATCTGCAGGTCAAAATGAGTGAACCGTTGCTGCAAATCAAGAGGTGTGTTCTAAATATAGAGATAGCATAGGTGTGTTCTAAATAAGACATGGCATATGTGTGTTCTATATATAGACATAGCATAGGTGTGTTCTAAATATAGACATAGTATAGGTGTGTTCTTAATATAGACATAGCATAGGTGTGTGCCAATACGCGTAGTGTTAGTTTAGGCCTCTGGTTACGCGCGACTTATGTCTTGAAAGTATGGTCACCTCAATACACACACTCGTACTCTGCAGCAGTAATAGTATAACTAGTATTTCACGTTTCTGTACATATGAAAACACAAATACGTATGAGATTGTACCACCTCAAACGCACCTGTGGACGCATGAGACGATGCATTGCTGCTGTGCTCAGTCGACGGTGACCTAATATCAAGTGACAAGTTCATAAGATATGTTCAGAAATTCTCACTTTAAAAACATGTATATTACGGATATCCATTGCTGGGCTTGTATTGTATCGCTGATTTCTACTCTTATTGAATATTCGATTGTAGTCAACTTTTGGTGCTTTAGATACGGGCGGACGTACTGGCCCATACACAATATATGGACATTAATCGCTTGTGTTGAACATAACTTTCCAATTTCGGAACGATCTTTTGACTTCATTCCACTTTTGTGGCTGCAGAGGTGGACTATTACCGAGCGACGAAATCATGGCATATGTCCAGACAACGAGACCGCACATGACGTTGGATGAGATTCTGTCGGATATGGAAGTGATCCCAAAGTCAAAGCACAAATTGTACTTCATGTGCAATCTGGATGTGGCCAAAACTGTATGTACGGATCGATAAATTAGGTAGAAAGAGTGAATCGTATTTTGTATATGTATATGTAGGTGTATAGTAGAGGTGCCTTTCTCAAGCATCCGGTCGTAGCAGCCATCTATCCAATTTGCACCTTGTAATGTTGGTATCAGGTATATATATATATATATATATATTAATATATATATATATATATATTATTAATATATATATATATATATATATATATATATATATATATATATATATATATATATATATATATATATATATATATATATATATATATATATAT